GCGTTCCCGTGCAACTGTAGCTCCCTCACGAAGAAGATGCTGCAGCGCAAGAGACCTGGCAGCTGTGACCTTCATTCGGGTCCTCCCTCCTGCTGCATCAGGTGTCGACAGCTTACTGGCAACTCGTCCCTCATCCAGGCCGTTGATGGTCTTCACGATGCCCATTGTCACTCTCCAGGCTGCAAGCCTTCGCTTCAATCTTTGTCTCAACCTCGGAGAGCGCTTGGGACTCCATTCAGGCCTTGGTGGATAAGGCAAGGGGAGTAAAGCCCAATCATTGAGCTTCTCTTTGAATTCCTCCACGGCCTTCAACTCAGAGACCGTGTGTTGGTTGGTCTGCTCATGCATTGTTTCCACAACCACCCCCGGCAGACCGTCGAGGATGGCTGGCTTTGCATCTGGTCACCCCTGAGTCTTGGGGGGGCCAGAAGACCCCCCCTTGCTTCCCTTTCCACCTCCTTTGCTGCCGCCTCCACGTCCTCTGAATTTGCCTGCGAACTTGGTCTTCGGCCCATGATCTCCATGATCTTGTCGAGACATCTTCTGGCCGCGCTCTGTACGCTGCCATTCAACCTTGGAGTACAGGTTGGCCTCATCTAGCAGCCACTTTGGTGCTATGTCAGATTGCGAACCTGGTGCACGGACTCCTAGCATTCGGCTGGCTCCGAACTTGTCTTTAGTTCTCCTGACATGGGAGCCCAACTTCCTCAGCTGGATTTCCAATGAGTCTGATGTAGCCAGTTTATGCATCACCGCTGCTTCGGACTTGCAATCTGCTAATTCGAAATCGATGATGGTGGCCGCCGAAAACAAGTCTTGGTATCCAGCAGTTTGTTTGGCCTCAAGGGTTGGGTGTTGGTCGTTCACCCATTGGCGGACCGAGGAGACCCCTTCTGCCCGGATGTTTCTATAAAGCTCAGGGGCAGCACGTTGTAGGTCTGCAGGAAGCTTGAGGTGCCATGCCATCTGCTCCGGGTTCTCGCCATGGTTGACATCTGCAATCCTGGCATAAGTTCCACCCGTGCCATGAGCTGGAGCTCCTAATGTCTCGATCTCTTGCAACGACTTTCGAAGTTCTTCTGGTCGTGGAGGTCCAATCGTTGCATCACCCACGTACCCGTGGCTTTGCAAGACATTACCCAGTTCAGGTTCTAAACCATATATCTCCTTTTCATTTCGCACGGCCTGCCAGAACAACGCCCCCCATTGCGGGGTCGTAGCTGCCAACCCATGTGCCTTGATCACGGCGTCCTTGGGGCGTGCTGCTTGGAGTTGCAGTCTGGTAGACCCTCCTCCCAGGCCCGCCAGTGGTGCATAGGTCAGGTTGCTTGCCTCCGTCGATGCAGTGTTTGTTGTGTCAACCGTTGTCTCTGCAATGATTGCCCTAGGTGGCACGTCTTGTAAAGTCAAACCACTGTCCAACTGAATGCCCAATGTCTCGGGCTTGACACTGCTGACTCTACCACACTGCCCAGCTAAGCTGTTGTAAGGAGGAATAGCTAGCAGCCTGCACCGTTGTCCTATGGTCCAGCTAGTCAAGGGAGCCTGAGATGTCATGCGATGCATTCCAACCTGCTGCTCTGTGCTCGGCACCGGAGGCACACCAGTTGGCGGGTGATCAAAGGGCACATCTTCTGGCAAAGGTTCAAGGGGTGGCATTTCCCCCACTGGTTCAAAAGCTCTTGCTCCAGGGTTCAAAACGCCTGGGCTTGGGTTGCGACTAGGGATACTAGGACTTTGACCCCCCGGAAACGTAGTCCATCCAAACGTCCACATCATCCCAGCACAGGCGACCAAAAATGTGCCGCCCGCAGTGGTGTAAAAGCGAAATCTATCAGACGGCATCCAAGGGTCAGCTGCTAAGCAAATCAAGCCAAGGAGCAAAACCTGCAGGTGTAAAATGCCGGTTGCCGATCTTTGCACCATCACTTCAGGTGGAGGTGCAGCTGAGGACAAGCCACTCACCAAGTCACTCCACTGGGCCTCATCTCCTGTGATCAGCGGGAAAGACTCCGCCGATTGCGTTCGTGAAACACCCGCAGTGAAGAGATTCCAGAGCAGGTCAGAACGAGTTCCTTGGTCTAAGGTCCTAAGTAGAGGTTCACGATCAATCCAAGTCACCAAGGGGCCCAAGGCTCGGCTCAGGCCTGCTCTCTGCTGAACTAGAGTATCTAATCGTCCTGCCGATCGGATGCGGCTTCGAAGCGTCAAAAGCGCCTCTTCAAGTCCAGCTTGGTCCTCAGGAGCACTTCCGCTCGCTTGCACCGTCGCAGTGATGGCATCTTGCAATGCCTGCTGTGACAGCATCGTCATGGCAGCAGCCGGCTATCTTTACCCTTCACAGCCACCTCATTGTGGCTGTGATTCTTTGACCCGGAAGAGCTGAAGGGTCATTGAGACCACTAAATTGAAAAGAAACTGGCAAGTCAAGAGTTCTCAAAAACTACATTCGTTCCGAATTCCCCAATATACAGTATATTATATATATTATGTATATACACATACATCTACATCTTGCACAAAGGGTTGCCAACCCTCCGCCAAACTTCCCTCGGCAGACTAAACCATGGCGCTGCTTCTCGTGGCTGGTACACAAACGATGCTCCGAGGTGGCCACGTTAGTGCATTGGCCTCCTGATTCAAGTCTGTTTGGTGGTTTGAACTTTGAACCCAGGTACAGGTTGAACATCCAAATGCTGAAATCGCAAAAGTGTCTGAACCCAGCACAGAACATTACTTCGACCATCTTCGACCTCCCTTCCCACCCCTTTGCTGTAAACTTGCTGTCATTCTACCTGACGGATGTCTTGAACATTCAATCCCTTGTTCCCGATGAAGAACTGGGCTCCGTCCGAATGTTCACGATCGAATCGCCACGAACGATACACTGCATGGATGACCCACTGGCATCCATGTGGCATCCTCCGTGCCTGAACTCGTGTTAAATGGGTGAATCGAAACCCAGAACATCTCGTTGGATGACCTGTGGAGAAAATAGACGATGGTCCTCGCCACTTTCGACTCTTCCAAACAGTGGGACCGCCCTGGCCGATACACGCCGCATCACAGCGCTGCGCGGCTGAGCTGTTTGATCGCCGCATCCAGCAGTGGAATCGGAGTCCAGCGTCGTCTCACCCGGTCCTCGGCCATGACACCAAGTCCTGGCTTGGCAAAGCCTAGTATCCACCTCCTTCGGCGTGAAGGCCTTCCTGACCGGAAAAGGAACGTGAAAAGTCATGGAGCTATACTCGAAAAGTCACATGTTCATGATTGGGGTGCAAAATGGTTTTGTTATCTTTTGTTGCTTGAGATGGTCCTGATAGGATGGTTTGTCGATGTTTTGCCAAAAGCACTAGAGTCACTAGGGAATAGCTGAAGGGTGTTCTTAAGTTGACTGGCGATTGGGCTTCACAAAATTCCTCCAGTCGATTCCAGTGGGATGAGGTTCCCAAGATCATCCAAGATTCAAGGCGTGACAGAACGAGTTGTTGGTTCAGGAGGAGCCACTCTACTTTTCGAATGTCACTCTCACTTTTTGAATGCCGGCGGCGGAGAAACAAGAATCCCTGCCCTTACAACTGGAAACGAGTAGAAGCAACTACCTATATAATGGGTACTGACTTGGGTACTGCTAAGCTGTGCACAAGTTCAAACATCTGAGCATGAAGTCAACACCCACAGAGCAGCCACTCCGTCGAGCGTCCAACCCTGAGCCATGGCAACGCAGGGATCCGAAGGACTATGACTATGGCAATTCTTGCGGAAACCCGGCTGATTTGTGTTTTGCGCCGAGAAAGGCAAGAGTGAGAGTTTGAATTGATTCTCTCCATTTAGGATTTCATGGCTTGCAAAAACAATTTCATGTGGGTCTCGGTCTCTACGCGCAAACTACAACTTTGCTTTCAAGCAAGATTGCATACTTATTGCCTTGCATAATAATATATATATATATATGTTAATAGTAGTACTTGGATACTATTGGAATGCATCAGAGGGTCTGGGGCAAAGGATGCAAAGCGATAACAGGAGACATACAAAGACTGGCAACACATGGCCATGATTTCAAGGTAGCTGGGAGTCACTGTAGAGCTTGCGTCCGTCCAACTCTAAGCTTCGACGTAAGCCACATAGATGGCTGAGGCACAAAGCAAGGCGTTCAAAACAATGTGGGCATGACCACAGAGGGTGTAGGGTCTATTGGAGCTGTATGGAGCTGTTCAAGTTCAAGACGGAGCTTGTTTATAGTATGATATAGATTCATATAGCTGCCAAACAACTACGACCATCGCACGGCAATCTACAAATACCACTGATATCCATCGATGAATCCTGCCACTGCAGAGCTCCATCTTTTCCAGCCCCCAAGAAAAGTAAAATGTCCAGAAAACATGGTCACATGGACCAAAGGATCTACACATATGGAGCCCAAAAAGAACTAGTGTTCTATACTGTTCCCCTCCAGGTCGCTCTCAACTTGGCCCTCACCCATCGGGGCCACCCGCCTCGTTCCACCAGTACAAAGCCTGGCTGAAGTCCTGGTTCTCTGCACACAGCACAGCCAGGTTGCTTTGGGCCTTGCGGTTGGCTCAGCGATCCGTGATGCGACCACGGGTGGCGGACAGGTCCTTACCCGTTCACCGGTGATGACCAGCGATGACCGGTGACCTGCCATGCTGGGCAACGGATCAAGCGAAGGAGGTGATCGTTTTGACGTCTTACTCTGGATCCTTGGCCGGCCTTGGCCGGCAAAGTGGAAAGTTGCAGTTACTCAAAGACCTGACACCAGTTTCAGGAGAGTCTCTAGTTCTCCAACTCAACACCGTGGCCCTTTTGGCATCACTTTTCTCGCTTCAGGTCGGAGCACAGCGGCAAGCTGTTCTGGATTCCAATCGCCAGTCGCAGATCTCAACATTGGCTCGGCCTTGTCCTTTCGCCCTTCATCAACACCAATAAGGATCGCACACACACTCGATTGATCGCTCTTTGTGCCGCTCTCGATGTCATGGTGCGGTAGGACCGGTAGTGCGTCCCCAGCTCGACATTCCCCTGCAACGGTCGGACGATCGTTCTCATTTTTATACCATTCTCTTCATTGCTCAGCCGAGCAACCTGTGCACATGAAAGCTCTGGGGCGGAGAGCATGACTCAACACTCAACACTTTTTGCTTCGGAGCATATGTTATCAAAACATATCAAGCATGACGCAAATCTGCTTTTTTTAATGTTTGTTACTAACATGCAAAGGTTACTCCATAAGCCTCCCAGCATCTGCCATTGACTCTACAGTTCAAACACTGCCGGAGAACACCTCCATTGAAGGTGCCCGTAGCTGTCGGCCATGGAACTCTCCGGTGGAACTCCAGTGTCAATCGTCAAAGATAGGGGTTGCATCCTGGGCGAGGGCTTTCCTTTGTCAACTCACGAACTGGTCATGGGGCCTTTGTCCGTAATATGGTCCAGTACAGAATCTAAATTTAAGTGATAATCTAACAAAGCATGAACACGCACACATACATATTATGGATCATGATTATGTTCCGCATGTGTCCACTCTATAACTCATGTTCTTCTTGCGTTAGACATGTTCCATATCAGCAGTCTCTGCCAGTATGTGTGGTGTACAGGTTCATCTTCCGATCTTGGCTGCTAGGTCCCACAAACTTGAAGCATCTTGAACGAGTAATGGACATTCCCACAACAGGCTTCTTGTTCCTAGTAGTAAGAATGATCCTGGTAGTAATGCCAGGAGCTACTAGTAGTGATGCCCTCTCCTAGTAGCTTGTTTCAAGGACATTCCGACAACTTCTATCGATACAGTAAATGTCCCATAATCTTTAAGCAAAGAAACACGGCCTTGTCATGCCTTGTCTATCTCTTTGGGACATTGGTGGTCACAGTCTGGTTTAGCTGGGTCACTGTATCAGTGCTGAGGCTTCCCAACTTGCGCATTCTGCGCTCAGTCTCAGGTACTCGGGATGTGTTGTTTGGCATTTGTGCGGGTGATAGACCAACATCCCTTGACTGATTGGTGTCCAAGAGAGCTTCATCTCAAACAACATTGTACTTTAATGTACTTTATATATTCAAGGGTGAAGCCTATGCACTGACCCGGATGCTCCACCCAACTCAAACCTAGCCCTGCCATGCTCTGCTTCCACAGTATGGTCCAAATTTGGAGGTCCCAAGAAGTGGGCCCAAAGCGACTGCCCCCCATGTGTGCTGGTGTGCTTTTGGGTGCCTGGATGAGCCTGGTCCGCAGCAATTTTTGCACAGAGCAGGGGTCAAATACATGAAAGGCCTGTTTGTTAACATAAGGCATAAGGCTCTTTCAATGAACCCAATATGTAATAATTACTCAATGAGGAACACGTGACACTGCAAAGTGAGTTCCTTCAAGCTCCAGTTTTGGCTCTTAGGTGCTGCCACTGAAAATCCAGTTGAGCATCCTTCCAAGCAGGACTCAAAGACCCGCCTGGCAGCGATAGAGTTCAACGGATCAGTCATCCTTTAACAAGTGCTTCTGTCCCACAAACAACTTTTTTGTGGAAAGCAACATGCAAACAACTCGCAAGTCAAAGCAACTGCTGATTGTTTCAAAATGTCTTGAACACCAAGAAACAAACTAGCATCCTCATGCTCAAATGGATTCAAGCACACTAGTTGCCGAAATGTTCTTTTCCAACTGAGCAAACCTGTCTACCTCTCGTTACCGAAAACAAACATCAAAAAAGCACAAATACCGGTTTCACAGGGATGAGGAGCCCTGTTAGCCTATTAGCTCCCTAAGTTAAATCCATGTAGCCCCCTATCATTTCATCAAACATTCCGATTGCAACACCTTTCACCAACCACCACTGTCAGCCTCCCGCGTGCGCCCCGCATTCGACCCGGTGCCCCAAAGTCGGCGGAGGCGCTGTTCATCCGTGGCAGTCGGAGTTGCCCCATGCTGTCCATGCGGAGCTCCTTGGCCTCTGGCGGCCGACCACGGGGATCCGCGTCCCAAAGCCAGGTCTCGCGAAGCCACCTCAGCGCTGCGCCGCACATGTGCCGAGTTGCGCAGCACGAGCACAGCTCGTGCCGGCTTGGCACCGGATGGCCATGACATGTTTGGATGGCAATATGGCAATCATGGCATTGGAAGACCACCTATGATTTAATATATAACCATGTACACTAAAAGTTGAAGCAAGGGGTCGATTCTGGATGCGGAGTCTCAGCACATCTTACCCGCGAAAGAATCCCCTATCCTCGAAAGACCAAACCGATTGAAACTGGTCGGATTGAACAAGATAACAAGTCTCCCATGCAACCACCTTGATTCTGCAAAGGTCTGCCAACAAACATGGTTCGAAGCGTTGCTTTGGAGTTCTGTTCCAAACATTGCAAAACCTAGTTTTTTGAACCAGAACATTGGCGCATCAGTTCCTGTGATGCCCAAGGGTCCATGTAGGTCGATGTCTTTGCTGTCCATAGATCCTTGATGATCCTTGCCATGGCAGGCCACCATGGCTTCACTGCACCAACATAGCTTTCTTTGTCACTTGTCACCCGGGCAATTGCAGGTCACCATAAAGGACGCACACGACGTGTGACTTACGATCGGAAAACTCTTCTTGTGATGTACAGTATCAATCACAAAAAATCCTCCCTCATCATTCGATTGCACAGTTCGGCTGCTATGTCGCCCATCCGAACAGCCAGGTCGCCGGTTGTTGCCATCCCAAACATCTCGGGACTCCTCGTTGTAATAAGTCGGGCGCACCTCGCTGCACATCTCGGGGGGGAAAGCAATTGGTGATAGGAGTGATCCAAGCTTTCCCAGTGGATCCACCAGTACATAGTCTTAGAACCACTGGCTGTAAACATTCTACAGTGGGGCGTGTGTAGCTTGGCAGCTGCTTCCCTTCTAGTTCTTTTGTAACATCGTCCTTCTTTAACTGGACCAACAAGAGTATGCTTTCAGCGCATGCATGGCTGTTTTCCCTGAATCTTCCACCATCCACTCTCCTCAATTCGGTGCCTTGTTTTAAGGAAAGCCTATGTGTCAAGGCTCTTGGGGTGCTCTGAGCTCAAGTGGCTGGCAGTGGAAAGCCCGTGGATCACACCAAGCACAAACCTTCTGATCCTTGCATGTCATGATCTTCACCCCAAACCACCTGGGAAGCCTTTTCACCAGCCAGGTCTGTAGGTGGCACATATAGAGATTTCTTTGGATGCGCCCACTCAAAGAACTGCCAAACAAACTGTTCAGACTGCGCTGCCGCAATTTCAATTTACATATATAGTGAGGGAACGAGGTGAAGGCAGCCCGGTCCTCCAATAGTCTTCCATATCGACTTACTTACGAAGTCTTCCAGTTCTCACCAGGTGCCCCGACATTCACCTCATGTGCTGCGACCTCAGAGGTGCAAGAAAACATCTTTCATCTTCTGTGCACTATTCTTTACTTTTGTGTTGCATTGCGCCATGGAAAAACGTATCAAACCTCGCTGAGTCGCTTGTCTTCCAAAGCATTTTCCTGCACTTTTGATATCATGGTATCATGATTTCATGTTGCGCCATTCCAGTCGTGGAACCAAGAACTTTGATCAGGGTGTGAAAGGATTCCCGTCCGAACCTTTTGTTTGTGTTTGCTTATGATTGCATGATGTGGAAAACTTAACTAACTGCATGGCACTCTTGTGACAAGCTTGTTTCAGCCTGCACCATTTTGCACCTCTGCCGACCTCCGCGACAAAGATTGGACAAATGTCATGGCATGTGGATCTACTCCCACGACCTCCAAAACGGATACATGAGTTCAGGGTGTTTGCAAATTATAAACAGATCAAGGACGCCCCTAGTCACGCGAAAAAGGGTTCACATGATGAGTTGAGCAATTTTGAGCAGAACTGAGCAGCTAAAGGTCAGGACGAACCAGTAAAACTTGCATACATACATACTCTATTATATATAGTAATAACACGAAAAAACAATAATAACAATATTACAGTAAATTACAGTATCTAAAATCACAAGCAACAGTTCTGGTCTTAGGTCCGAATGTCATCGACAAATGAAACACCACACAATATCGGATATCTTTCACCCTTTGATACCCTTAGACCCACTACCTTAGACCACCACCTTTGCTCAGTAACACATTCATTTTAGAGGCGGGTTGTACCCACTCCGCCCCATGGACCAATTCGACCCGGCCATCACACGCCGAGGCACCAAGACTTTGTCCTGCGTAAGCATGGGCCAAATCATGGGTGCCCTCCGCCGCACAGCACTGCGGCCCTGGCGTAGGGTGTCCTGGCGCCGATGTCATCGTTGCGTGGATGTCGCCGATGTCATGGGCATCACTCAGGTGGATGCCAGGAGCCCCTAAGTAGCTTCTTCCTGGGCCAGGAGCCCCTAGTAGCGTCCTCGCTCCTGGCCTTTTCAGCACGTTTCTCGATGTTTTTCTCTCCAAGGCAGCTTCTTGGCCTCCTCTTTGGGAAACCGGCGATGGCAGGCTGAACATCATTCTGGATTTCCTGAGCTGCAATGGTGTTGCAATTGGCAACGCATGGCTGTTCCAAGGTCTTGCTATTCAGGTCGCTTTGCGACCGTTTGCGACAATACTTCGATATATTAATCATGATTAATCAATAATGTCTGGGATGTGGACGTCTCCACTCTTCCACAGACTTCACACGCTAGGCCTCAACGTCCACGCTGTTCGTATCCCCTTTGCAACGAAGCGGGAAGTGGTCTCTCCAGTGATATTTTCTGCCAACGTATCTTCGAAGGTGGATGAAAAGCCACTGTCAGCAAAATACGCTTGCAGAATCCGTTGCTCGTAGCGGGGTGCGAAGTTGTTGTTGCTCCGCATCAAGGAAACTGTGGCGTCCAGGTTTACCGGGTCCAACACGAAGGAGATAAATTCCATCAAGCCTTCCGACGTTTTGAAGTCACCAATCTGAAAGTCTCTGCAATATCCGACATCCTTCAAATATTTCAGGATTTGCTTGCAACCCGCGCTGAGACTTGCTGGATCAGAGCCCTTTGGCACTTGTAGCGACGGCCAGTAGCCAATGGATGGCAGGCTTTCATCTTGCTGTCCATCCACATCGCTCTTGAGCTCCTCTCCACGAAGAATGCTCTGGTAGAGCCGAGACCCAACCAGCTGAGCAAACTGCTCCCGATCGGAAGCTCTGCGTATGGCCCGTCCGATGACCCGCCACTGAGCATCGTTGAGGAAGCTGAAGTAGAAGCGGTTGGTCACCCCTCCGGAACGGCTCTGCAGGAGCTTGGAGGTGTTGTACAACTCTGTGAGATCATAATTCTCATAGCGACCTCGAAAGCCTTCGAAACCATCCCGCAATTGGATGGCAAACTGCTTCTGGTACTCAGCCATAGACGGATAAATGCCCCAACTCTCTACCGAATCATAGGTACTTCTTAGCAACATCACAGCCAAAACTTGCGGAACCTCCGGTGTCTCTTTGGTGGTGCGAAGCATGGTCTCACCGCTGCATGGTGCGGAAAAAGGGCCCAAACCCAAACTGCCCAAACCACCCAACCATCGCACACGAGATGGGATAGGCACAGCTTTCTGCTTGCCAGTCGTCCAACAGGAGGAGGATGACAAGCACGGCCACAGCAAAAGGTTCACCAAAACTGTCCGTGAGAAGTGCCCCAAAATATTCGCACACTGTGTTGCTTGATGTTTAGGAGCTATCCACATTCCTCTCCAGTACCCTTTGCGCTCTCTGCAGCTTGTCAAATCAAGGTGCCCCATGCCCTCGTTCAGCTAAGCAGTAGGCACATGACACGCGACATGCAACATTGTGTTCCGGCAATCATTTGACACTCGTCAGTAGGTGCTGAACAAAAACCAAACTTCCCGAGTCACCTGAGGCTTCATTCATTACCAAACATATTGCTCACCTTCAATCTATGTTGACTTGTAGTGGTTCTTGCAAATTGATCGTAACACGGCAGAACTGCCCTTATGGTCAAGCACATTAAAGGTTCAATGATGAATAAACAATGGGTCAACACAAAAGAACTTAACGTTCCTATTGTGTTTTTTTGAGCCAAACATAAGCATACAATGCCCACAAATCTTGCTGTTGACTAGGGGCCAACTTGGCATGTCGACGGGGATATATATATATATATAATATATGCAACGGGGCATCTTTTGGCTGAACACGCACAAAGCCTATTGGGAATCATGATGGAATGGTGCTCCATTAGTCCAAACATGAAAACTATTGAACACTCGTATTTGACGGTCCAGGGGCCTAAGAGCACATTCTCTGAAAAACTACCGCTTGACCAACCATTCCATTACGACTCCTGGGGACCCTGAGACCATCCTGAGAGGTATAGGTCGAGGTAGGTCCAGGATGGTGCAGGTAGGTGAGCCTGGCAGCTGTTGGCTGGATCCATCCCACCTCACCTCAGGCCAAGCTCATCATGACAGTCCTGGCACTTCAAGCGGCGAAGTATCACCTCGTGGCCGAGCGAGCTCTTCGTTTCCAAGGCTTGCACACAAAATGCACATCGTCACACCCTTCTCAAAAATGGGTTCCTAGACTTTGCCACCGGATTTGCCTGATTTATATACCCCCGTGCCGACGGACATGAGCTCGAGACGTGCTTTTGGCACTTTAAAGTTCAATGTTGAATGCGACTTCCTTCAAGGTTGCGTTGCGTTTGCCTTGCTTCATTCGCACAAACATTTTGACAGGCTCACTCACATTGAACCCTTTTTGGGGTGGCACTGGGGGCGGTGGTGGTAGTTGTGGTTCTTGGGGGCGCTTCAAGTTCAAGCTGATTCTCCCGCAAGTAATCGAACTAGTGTCCCCATATGTCCCCATACCATACCCAAATGAATGTGAGAATCTGGTGATCATAGTAGGGCCCCTCATGGTCTTCCGTGAAGGGCGACACATCTTTCTTGCAGGTACGGCATCAACCCGCACCCAACAACCGGAGAAAACACACGACTCGGCGTGGTCGGCTTTCTTCGCCTCCTCGCGATAGTCTGTCCGGCACAGGATCCGGTACCTCGATCAAGTGGAACATTGGGGGATGAAGGGATCACACGAACATTGATCTATAGAGTAAGATCATGGAAGCAGTTATGCTACTTTCGGCTAGGTTGTTGTTGAAGAACAAAAGCAATTACTTTGAAGTGTGTGTAGCTGGTGCGTTGGTGTGAACTCCAGAATGAAACATGATCATTATCGCCTAGACAATCCTACCGGAAATGTTCAGGCAAGTCTAGTGGAAGTGTGACAAACATCGGTAGCATCCCAAATGCCAATGGTACGGGACAAATGACTACTTCGAGCCTGCGGAACATTGTGGAACCGCGGGCCTTATACCCTGCAGTGTGTGTTTGACAGGCAAACATATATAGGACACAACAGGAATTCATGTGAGACCTTTAATGGCAACTTACCAACTTGCAAATCAGAAACCGTTTTCACGGTCAACCATAAGTCAAGGGTTGCTCTTGGACGATAAACGCTGTGATCTGCCCGATGTATATATATATATATACATTATTCATACACACCAGTTCTACTAGCATCTATAGTTATCAGTGCAGTACCAACAAGCACGTCACCTTCCTCCCAACCCGTATATTGTGGCGCTTGTCAGGCAAGAGGCAAGTAACCATCATGAATGCCAACCACAGCACACACATCTGGAAATTGTGGTGTTCCTTCATCTCCTCAGTTGCCAAGACTGCCCAGAAGCGTGGACATGAAGCGCCACCCTGTGAGTGAGAGTGATGCTGCAATGCTTGGAACATGAGAATCAGCCACGGGAAACAAAAAACATTCCTCACGAAACCAGTGGTTTTTTGGGTCTCACCTCCCTACCTTGTTCAACATGGCACAGGCTGCCGGACCCGGCTGATCAACTTCTGAGAAATGGATCGACCCCTAATAGAACCCAAGCTTATTCTTGTTGTCAAGACAAGAGGACCCGTAAAACTGAAATCACCCAAAGACATAGGGAATGAATGAAGCTGCAATCATCGTATCAGTGGTGTCTGTTCGACCATAGTGAAATCCATTCCGTCAATTCATCCTGTTCTGCAGCTAACAGCTGATGCTGGAGGGATCGCAACAACGCATCAACACCGCGGCAACAATTCTTCAAACCGACAATTCTTCAATTCCTTTGAGAATTCCAATGTTCTTCATCTGTTCAAGCTGCTTGAGCAAGCATCCTCAATGACTCGCAGCCACCCTCATGTTTTGAAATATGACAGAATCACGCTTAGACTCAGACCAAATCTTGAAAGCTGCGAGGATATTGGCCATGTAATGTTGTCGGATTGTCCATGATTGTCCCATGCGTGGGAAACATCCTTCAGTTTAGCCAAGCCGCCATCTATCATCCACAACTCCTCGCGCACCGAGGTCACCTTTTCAGCCTAAGCGGTTGAAGCAACCAACTGGAAAAAAAGCGATGAAAGGAGGCAGTCTGCCGCACTCAGACGCACAAAGCAATTTCTAAGCATACATTTAACTAATTGTTGGTAATGCAACTGAGCCATTGCTGTTTTGCCAAACCTCTCAGAATAGGCTGTTCCCCCCGCGCAATGCCCGTGCGGACGACACCGACGAAACCTTCGGACCTGCACCGATGCTGCGAGGTCCGCAACCTTTGGGCGGTTCCCTGAACACCCTGATCATTCACCCCTCCAAACTAGAACTTAATAGAGCTTCAACACATGAATCATCATATTCATATCATATTCATATTCATATCATTTCATATCCAAACTCATATCATTAACAATCCCATAGAATCCCTGGAAGACCCTTTCTCACTGCACACGCTAGCTTTCGGGCTCCCTTTCCTCGAATCGGCACGCTGCACGACCGACCAAAGACTGACTTCGGCACAGGGGCCACAGACAAATCCTCCGCCAGCTTCATGAGAACCCCGCCACCTGAGTGCGAAGAAAAGGAGAGCTCCAACAAGTCCTCCGGAGCCACACGGCGGAGCATGGAATCATCTCACATGGCCATGTGGAGAGGCTTCCCAGTTTCACTCAACAACGTTACGTAGGTACAGTGTTGATCTCTATTGATCTCTTCTCTCCCTCTTCCTCACCATCTGAAAGATATTCGTTGTGGATGTCCAACCAAGGAGCCCAATGGACACGCGTCGCTTCCCACCACGGCATATCACCAACTCACGACACTCGAACAGCCTGAAAAGTCGCTTCGCTCTGTCCCGTTCCTTTCGGTCAGCGGTTGGGGCAGTCTGATCCCGGTCCCTGGGCCAAGTTGCTATACACAAAAATCCTCCCAGCACCCCCCACGATGAGGGGTGAAGAATCTTTGCGCACAATGCCATAGGCCGAGCAAACCAAGCGCTCTGTCCACACCGGAAACCAAAACCGCACCTGAGCTCGCGCCGTTTCTCCTCCATGCGGAGGCCACTCACATGGGGCTCGAATGGGCTCGAGGGAAAGAACTGGATGCACAAAGTAGGTGTTCAATGATTCAAAGGTCTGTCAGTGGTGGCATCTAGTAGCTGTCTAGAGCCACGGCTGAAAGATTGTCAGACTCTCGCTGTACTAAAACATCTCTCTGTCCATGCAAAGAACTGCATCCGCGGGGACAGGTGAGTATGGCACTGCTCCTGTATGATCACATTGTGCATCAACAGTAATTACATACTAATGCAAAACCAGGCACATCTGCTCGTGCTCCATCTTGGCAGCCCCTGCGACATGTCTTCATGCACTCCCCTAAATAAAGCCTAAGCAGCCCCTGGATGTCTCAACCCATGAAGCCCACTCACAGCGGACTGGAGTAACTTCTAGAGTTCCAAAGTAACATGCAGAATGGTAACGGATCCGGACAAAATTTATCTTAAAAAAACAGTACTAGTTATGGGTGTTATGTTTCCGGTGTTTCAGTCATCTCTGCTAACAATGTGACGATGTGGAACCCTTGCATCGTCTGGAAAGCCAGTGAAAACGTTTGCAAATTAACTTGAAACCTGGTAGTTGTCTTGAGCCCGATTGTAGCCCCCATCAGCTCCATCGCATGAGATTTTGATCACCCTTTCCTGTCATTTGTCATCATTTGTCCATCTGCACATGATGATCCTTTCATTTCTTCCGTTGGGCCTGCAGCGCGGGTCTCCAATGCTAAAGCACCAGCTCCCATCCAAACCATACACTTCAATGCTATGAAATCCCGCTCTTGTGATCCTTAGCGCTGAAGAGCGCATTGCTTCACTTAGGGCTTCGGAAAAACATACAAACACATGAACATGTTTTGACAGATACCCAAGCATGTTTCATTGGTGCGAGACCATCAAAAGGCAAGGATTTGAAAGGACCCGTCCAACCACCATCACCAAATGTTCTGCTTGTTTGGACCAAAATCAAAGAGATGGGAACACTGTGAATGATTATCTTACAAGTCTCACTTTCAAATCAACGCCAGGACGAGTATGGTGGGTCCAAAAAATAATAGGGCACACTGCACACACACACACACCGACACTGTTCTGTTTGTGATTGGTACCCGACACCATCTTGGAGATCTTCAATCATCATAGAAGGATATAGAAGGGTAGGGCCGGGTAGGGAGGCTTTTGAGATAAAGAACGTTGGTCGCAGCAACCATCAAGCAACACAACAACCATGCAACGTGGGCTTCTCTAGAAAGTGCATTTCAGGTCCCTGGGTTTCTGGTTAGCTGGAGTCTGTACATAATATTCAAACTTACTGCGTACGGTGCATAACAAAACACAAGCAGGTGTCCTGTCTCAGTTTCTACCGGGATGCAGAATGTTTTCCACTGTCTTTGCAAGACCTTGGGCCGTGACGAAATTCCCAGTACAGGAACTGCTTGATTCTGTGAAGACTTTAACACATGCCTTGGAAATGTGAGAAGTAGCCTGATTATCCATGTAACAGTACTCAAAACTGTGCTGATGTGACATGTCGTGCAACCATCCTGGCTACGAAATGGAGAACATCGATTGAGGTGATGTTCTTTGGTTATTGAATGTTATTGTTTCCTCTGCGCGCATTGGTGCGCTGCCTTTCAATCCAAAGAATCACATAATATCATGAGAGCAAACGTATCAAGCAAACGTAGATTTTGATTGTTATTTTCCCCCACACCTATGTGTGGGGTTCTTGTTTTTCCGGCTGCATCCCACCTCCGCCTCCGCCTCCTCCTCCTCCTCGCCTCCTCCTCCTCCTCCTCGCCTCCTCCTCCTCCTCGCCTCCTCCTCCTCCTCCTCCTCGCCTCCTCCTCCTCGCCTCCTCCTCCTCCTCGCCTCCTCCGCCTCCTCGCCACTGACAACTCACACATCAACGACTCACACACATCAACAACAACTCGCATATATCATCAACACATACCCACACGCATCATCAATCAACGACTCA